ATCTATAACCCAAATTAATATGTATTAGTGAGTTAAAAAAAAAATCTGTTCAAGCCATAGTGGAGAAATACAGACCAGGTTTTGAACTTACAATTTAGAAATATAGCTATTTAAAGCACTTTCTGTAAAAGTGGGAAGCAGCGTTAAACTAATCTACATCATTAGCTTATAAGAGATCTCGCCAATTTATTTTAATGATCTTAATTTTAAGCTAAATCTTGAAAAAGGAACAGTTACGAAATGGCTGGAAACAAAATATTTTGAATCATTACTGATCATAGTAGAAGTTTATGGTAAAAGGCTGTCGTGAAATCAGCTTGAAGCCTGAAAACGTTAATAGTTTTTGTGGACTTGATAGTTTATTATTATAGGTAGTCAAAGTAACTTTTTGTAGATCTTTTTTTCTGGGTCAACGAGAGTTACAAAGTACTTGAACTGTTATAGCTCAATGTGAGTAAAATAAAACGATTGTTGTAAGTAGCATCGCATTGAATAAAGATTTTGTTGATATATTGGTCGCTGGGAATATATTGCTTCCTATACCTTTGGTTTTTGGGTTTAATTGCCTGAACCCATTTACTCTCAAGATCTGTTTGTAAATTCTCCCCTCTAGTTGATACACATTTCCCAGTTACTTAGTTACGAGAATTTGGTGTTAGATTTGTAGTACTAAGTGTTAAATTCTCATTACCTGTTTGCTAGATAATATATTAATATCATAGGGAGAAGTTACATGTTAATCACCTCTGGCATTGTCAAATAAGAGACTGGGAATAAATTGAGAGGAGGCCACTGTGAGTCAAAAAGGGGCTCAGACGACAGAGTATCAGACCTGAAAAAAAGGCTTGTTTTCTTGCACTTACTCGATTTCGAACTCATTCTTGAGCCGAGCCAATCATTGCAGAGATAGGTTGCGGGATGAAATTTTTTATTGCGTGAACCAAGGCAATTTATCGCACAGGTCAATAATTTTTCCTTTAGTAGTTTTTCGTTTTTGCATGCACCGTTATATGACGTAAAACCGAAGGAGAGTGCAGATCACGGTTAAGTTGTTGAAGTGAGCGCTAACAGGGAAGTTTTAATGATTTAATACAAAAGTCGCTCTCTAGACCATAGTGACACAGACTTCAACTTCCACGTTACACAGTATATGCTACGTAATAGATTGCAGATTACGTCAAAATGTGGAAAGAAAAAAAGTTAGCACACGAGGCTTAGTCGTGTGTGTCACTAGCGGATGTGAGAACCGCGTTCCAATGGCCTTTTCCCTTAGTTCCCACCTCAAACTCCACCCCCAACTAAGGGAAAAGGCCCTGGGCACGAGGTTGACTGATGTGACTGAAAATAATGGCGGAAGAGTGGCCTAATGCAATTATTCTCACTTTGAATTCATTCCCGATTGATCCTGTCCATGTTTTCTTTTCTTGTCGGCACGTTCTTTTCCTTTCTTGTTTTTCCATGGGACATTAAACCCTCAGGTCAGTATTTTAGGAAAAGCCGTCAGTGATTAGGAAAAAAGAGAAATTCTTCAATCCATTACACCCTGATATCGGTATTCATATTCCCCATACTTTTCTCTATACATTTACTTGGGAACTGACTAGGAGAATTCATTTAACCATCAAAGCTTCTTAGTTTGGCAATAATTTCCTCTATTTGCGTCATATTTATGAATGACTCAGCAGTATAGATGCAGGCCACTCAAAGGATTTAAATGGTTACTGTAAGTGTTAGAGAGAAACTATTGGTTACATTGAGGGATGTAACAATGGATAACAGTTCATTCTGTGAGTGAGGAGAAAACCAGTATTCTGCAGTTAGCTTGGTTTATAGAACACAGCCAAAATATGGAGAACTGACAGAGGCTAATGACATATACAAAAGAGATTTTATGTGATTTGAAATATATTCCAGGGCCAGTTTGCAACACATCAAATTGTTTTCATGCGTTTTACTCCCCTGATCTCATTAGAAATTCTCCCTACGGTCTGCCATTAATTCTTATGATGTTCCTTTAAATAAATTGGTATGAGATAAATTTTTAATCCCTTATTGATATTTTTTTACGTTCTCATCACTTGTCTGGTTGATACTGTATTGATATTGTAAGAAGAAATTCGGTCTTGGTCACTCATGACATTTTTTAAAGGATTAAACTAATAAAGAAGACTTATTAAGTGATATGTCTACAACTGTATTTTGATGTTGGAACTTTTTGGAATTGGAAGGAAAGTGATGGGTGCCAGCTCACATATTTATGTTTTTTTGTTTTTACCTTTTTCTTGGAACCTGAAATTGAGATCACGTTGGTTTTAGACTATTTTAAGTGAATGTCTTAAGAACAAATTGGTTTAACACTTATACTCTTATGATTCCGTTAATAATTATTGTCTTCACTGTCTGCCACATAATTCTTTTGACGTTACTTCGAAAAACTTTGTGTTGGGTCAACCAACAATCCCCTTGTTGATATATTTCTTAGTTCTCATCACTTGTCTGCTTGATGTTGTATTGATATGTAAGGAGAAATTCTGTCTTGGTCACTCATCAGAGTTAAAGGGTTAAACTGACAACATTGTTTTTGTTTCTTTAATAATTTAGGTGCCAATGAATTACCTGCTCAAGGTAAGTTTCACGTGTTCTCATGATTGAAATACTTGTAGCCTTAGTGATGTTTATTGCTCACTACATACAGTACTTATATATTGAAAGGTTTGCACAAACTAGTACGTAATTTTTCACTGCCTGCTTTCCTTGGTGATGTTAAGGTGGCTGAACACAGTTTTCGCG